TTCCCTGATGATTGGTAATGTTGACTTTAAATATATATTAATTTATTTAAATTATTTAAATTGTGTATTTAAATATAAAGTACATGACTTTTCATGTACTTGTTGGTCATCTGTATTTCTTCTTTGAAGAAATATCTGTTTAGGTCCTGTGCCAATTTTTGAATCAGGTTTTTTGTTTTTTTTTTTTTGTTGTTGAATGTAACAGTTTTGTGTTTTTGGATATTAACCCCTTATCAGATATATGATTTGCAGACATTTTCTCCCATTCTAGAAGTTGCCTATTCACTGTGTTGATTATACCTTTTGATGCACAGAATAACTTGGTGATTTTTTGAAAACTCAGATCTTACCGGAGGATTACATGGCTCAGAGCTAAAATTTCAGATTCTTGACATTGTATACAATCTGGTTTCTAACCTTGGGTTAAAAATTTTTTTTGAAAAAAAAAAATAAATAAAAATAAAAATTTTTTTTGGATACATATATACACACCACACACAGCCTTCTCCTTTTCCTGCTCAGTGATTTAAACTCTATCCAGAAAACAAAACAAAACAAAACCCCCCCAAAAACAAAACAAAAAAAACCTCTATCCGGGCAGAAGTAATTGCAGTCCAGTAAGTGTCAGGATTTATCTTACTTTCTCCTGGATACCTTCCACATTTACCTAGGGAACCTCTATTTTTCCAAAGGCATCTCAAGCATCTCTTCTGTAAAGCCTTTTCTAATCACCCTCTACTTCCCCAGACAAAATGGAATTGAGCACTGAACTCTGTGTGTTCTTCTATCATAGCATCTGAAACATTTTAGTGTTGCCTATTTGTTTACCTGTCAGTTTTGCTTTACTGGATTGACAGTCTTTTTGAGCAGTGTCTTTTTTTTTTTTAATTTATGATAGTCACAGAGAGAGAGAGAGAGAGAGAGAGAGAGGCAGAGACATAGGCAGAGGGAGAAGCAGGCTCCATGCACCCGGAGCCCGACGTGGGATTCGTTCCCCGGTCTCCGGGATCACGCCCTGGGCCAAAGGCAGGTGCCAAACTGCTGCGCCACCCAGGGATTCCTGAGCAGTGTCTTTGTTGTTAGTTTTTTTAGTGAATGTGTGATGAATAATTATTAAGTTAGCCTATTGGATCTACAGAGTTATTCTAGATTAATTTTGGTTTTCTGTGATACCACACAGGCAACTATTTACAGAATGGTTTTTGGGAGAACATAGCACTCCTTTGCAAGTTCCTGGTTGGCAGTCTTCATTCTCTCCACAAAATTTATAGCCACTTTGTGGCAGATCTTTGTTACTGGGTAGACTTTTGATTATGGCTTATAGTACCATACATATTTTAAACTTAACAGCAACTTCATCCTAGGAAGGTTATTTCTGATTTGCAAGTCTTTTGAAAACACTTTAAGAATATATGTCAGATGGAATTGGTCATGTTATTCCAGATATATTTGCTATCCTTGTTATTGAGGGCAAACCAAAGAGCCTGGGAAATAGTCCTTTGGTTGATATTTAAAACCAAACCAAAACAAAAATTGGTATCTTTTCCCTTCTTCCATTAAGACTAGCTTTTGTTATGAATTCTTGTAATAAATGACTTCATTCAAGTCTTGTAGCTTATGGTGTCCCCTGGCATGAAGATCATGAAAATATTCTACTGGTAGAGCACATTTCACATTTACGCCGTATTCCAAAACGTCATTAGGAAAAGTTCTGGATAAAGAACAGTCACCATCAAGTGATATGCTACCAAAAGATGGATTGCTACTATTTTAGATAATTTAGTTGTACCAGTTATATGGGCCTTTTATAAGTTATGTTCTACATGATTTCCTGTAAAACTTTGATTTTAAATGTAAACAACATTTATTTAAACATTTAATTTACTAATGTAAATACTGAAATGTTCTGGGTTCTTGTAAGTTTTTACTTTAAATGCCAGAAGTTGTCTCTATATAGGCACATTTTACATTTAATTCAATGGAATAATTTTCATCCCTTCTTGTAGTGACAGTGTTTCTTGTTTCCTGAATGATGAAAAGGTGATTAGTTATGAAATGAGATACCAACTATAATAGTCTTCTATAAGTGAAACATTTGAACTGTTCTCCTGTTTTTTTTTTTTTTTTGCAAGAGTACTTAGCACTTACACATGAGTTTTTATTACTTACAAATATTATCCACTGCAAAGGGATCAGTGGCTTACATAATTATATTGGAGTAGTTCAGAATTCATTTGTTTGACTTTTAAATTATTTTGTGATTTGTGTTGGAGTATTGGTATCTCTGAAATCAAGGTATGTGCCGCCCTTTTCCAGAGCGTAGTAAACCATACTGTAACATCTTGTCCTGAAATCAGTTGTAAACTCTCCAGCAGTCCTTTAGGTTACTGTGAGGTTAGGGTTCCTGTTCAGTGTCTTCTCATTTCCTGATCTTCTTCACTGCACTGTGATGGTAATAGACTACAGTAATCTCTGAGATGCAGACAGTCTAAAACTGCCTTTAGTTCTCTAGACTTGCACCTTTATTTTTTAAGTAATATTTACATCCAACATGGAGCTCAAATACATGATCCTGAGATTAAAAGTCACATTCTGTACGAGGCAGCCAGGCACCCCTATATTTGCAACTTTGTGTAATCCTTTGGTTGTTAAAGGTTTTTACTTTTTGAAAACTTCAGTTATCTCTGACAGTCACTTACCAGGCTGGTCTGATGGATAGCACCTGCTCTCCTTTATGGATGTAAACATTAATGTTTAAAAGTAAATTAAAAATTACAATAAAAAAATTACAATCTAATGTAATCTATAAGGTATTGGTCCATTAAATATTCCGAAACACTTTAGTGTTTGTCTGTCAGACACCATCCTGTTTTGTGGATTGGAGAACCAGATATGATAATGGATATACACAATCTTTGAGAAGTATCTATTTTGTAATTTGGTTAGGGAGTGGTGGGGAGGGAAACAGGTTAAAAATTACAATAGATTTTGATAAATTCTCTGATAGAGATTAGGAGAGGTTGTCTCCTTATCTGTAACATCATAGTGCATAGATGGGTCATTTATTTTTTTATTTTTTATTTTATTTATTTATTTTTTTAGATGGGTCATTTAACCCAGATTTTGAAATGTTGAGATGTGTTTCCAGGAGCAGGTAACATCTGAACTGAGTCTTAAGGGATGAGTAGGAATTAGCCAGTTAAGGAGGAAGAGAAGCCTGGAAATAGACTAAGATGATAGGACCAGAGAGATAGGAGGTAAGCCTTAGAATAAATGGTAGCTGTCACTTATTGAGCACCTACTTTTGTGCAGAATGCTACATTATAAGGCTTAAACCACTTACCTCACAGTAACCCTAAGGGCAGGTGTTATTATCCTCTGTATACAAATGAGAAAATAGAGTCATAACCCTCCTGGAGTTATGACAGGGCTATTGAGTGGCAGGGCTAGATTAAAAAACCTAGCTTTTCTTGGGGGCACTTAACTGGCTCAGTCAGTAGAGCACATGACTCTTGATCTTAGGGTTGTGAGTTCAAGACCCATGTTGGATGTAGAGCTTACTTAAAAAATTAAATGAATAAAAAAATGTTAAAAAGAATGTTCAACCATATAAAAAAATACAAATAAAACCTCTAGCTTTTCTGGCTTCTTGTCTAGGCTGCTTCCTCCCAGGAAAGAACAGGTGGAGGAAATAGTTAAGATAGAAGAAACAGTGGAGGAAATAGTTAAGTAATTGCTATGCTGTTGAAAAGTCATTTGTGCAGGTTAAGTTATGAAAGTGTCCAGGGGCATTCATAGTGACTTGTTTATTCAAGAGGTATTTACTGAGAGTCTTTTAGGTGCCAGGAACTGTATTAGGCATTAGGAATAAAAGGACACATGCCATAGTGGTAGAGGTAGAAGGGTAAAAGGAAGCAGAGACACTTGAGTGAAAACTGTTGTATAAAGAAACTTGATGGCAAAGGAAAAGATAATGATCCGATAGTAAATGTAGGAGGAATTGCTCTGTGTATATGTGTGTTTAATATGGGAAGTACTTTAATTGTTTACATGCTGGGGAGAAAGAGCCATAGCTGGGGAAAAGTTTATGATGAAATAAACCTTGTGATTGATTGATTCATCAAGGATGCTAAAGAATGAGGGGAGATAGGGACTAAAGTCTGTTAGATTGCACATATCTAATTAAGTAGATTGCAGGATGATCCTCACGTGAATTTGTAATTGCCCTAGAATTTTAGTATTATTAGCTGGCTCTTGGGTAATGGAAACTTGACTAAATAATGAAAATTCTTATTCAAATGATCACTGTGATTCCTTATGTCTTATTTGTGTATTCATCCTTTCTCTTCCTCGATTATCCTGCCCATACCTTCTGTTTATCATAGCATTTCTTATATTACATTAGAGTGATTGATCTCCCCCTCCTAGACCATGTGCTTCTTGGAAGGGGGGATGATAAAGGCTATGTTTGATGCCACCCAGCATCTGCAATAATCTCACTTTAATAAGTGCTTATTGAATTGATGAATCGTTTAGTGACTCAGTTCCTTATTTGTGCAATTTTTGAGCAGCAATATTTTGCTTTTTAAACTTTTAAGGGTTAGAGGTGTATATTTACCCTGTAATATATACCCTGTAAGGGTGTATATTTACCCTGTACAGATTTGATTTGATTTTATGTAGTTAAACACTTTAAGTTATGTATGCTCAATTTTCAGTGAAAAGAAGGCTTTAAATATTTGGATGGTTGGTTTCATACAACCTTACGGTTTCTCTTTTTTGAGATTTAAGATTAATTTATTATCAACTCAACAATTGTAATCTATCTAGAAGTGCAGAAATAAGATACCCTCACAAATTTTATTTTGTTTTTTTAAGCTTTGTGTAAAGAGCTAGTGATGCAATTTTAAAAATTTATATTGCCTGTGAGCGTGGTATGTCGCCCCCCTGCCTCAAATATGTTCATTACTCATTGATGTCATGGCATTTTCTTTTTTCAGAATCCTGTCCAAAAGATCCCTGACTCGCATGAAATAACTCTGAAGCATGGTACTAAAACAGTAAGTTTAAAAAATTTAATTCTTTCCTCTCAGTAACAAGGCTCCCATGGAAAAGTGAACCAATGATACATTTATATTAAGGCTAATTATACAATCAGCTGATAACACAGAAGCTGTAGACATTAAAGAAAAAGAAATATTACATTTCTATTCAATCAAAATAACCATTGCCTTTCATTTAAAATAGCAACACTTATTGTCATTGTTATTGTTGGCTTTAAAACCTTGTTCTTTGATAGAGGAACATTACAAGTGAAAAAAAGAAATGAAACTAAAATACAGTTTTCCTTTTTATGGTGTGGGAAAATTTCTCATTACCCTTAGCTTTATTTCTATATCAGTAAAAGGCCTGAGTTCGTTTTTTAGATGAACACTGAGATAAGAAATAAACATAGAATGGTTACTGTACTGTTTTAAGATTATATTACTTAGACTTACAGATTCTATTTTTGTATTGTTATTTTTATGTTAAAGATTAATAATATAAAATTCTGAGTTATAACATGAAATTATTTTATTGTAAAACCATTAAAAAGTGGTAGTTGAATGAAGGAAACCTCATGAATGAAAGAAGAAGATTATCTTGTTTCCCTTTTCTTTTTTTTTTTTTTTTAAGATTTTATTTATTTATTCATGAGAGAAACAGAGAGGGAGAGAGGCAGAAACACAGGCAGAGGGAGAAGCAGGCTCCATATAGGAGCCTGACATGGGACTCGATCCCAGGGCCCAGGATCACATCCTGAAGGTGGCACTAAACTGCTGAGCCACTTGGGCTGCCCCATTGCTTTCCAATTTCAATGAAACTGCCTTTTTCTAGATGCCTGACATGTAAAGAAGTAGGAAAATACATCCCATAATGAGGAAAACATCAATCAGGAGAAATAGACCCAGAAATGATGCAAATGAGAAATATAGAAGAAATAGAGAAATAGGAATAGAGAAGGATGTCATTTTTCTTGCCCAATTTTGCTTTTGAAAATACCATTTTCATAAAAATGTTTGTTAAAGTGTAGTGGATTTATTGTTTTAAATGAAGTGAACAATAAATATTTTAAAATGTCTTAGTTTAGGGACGCCTGGTGGCTCAGGGGTTGAGCACCTGCCTTTGGCTCAGGGCATGAACCCACCATCCGGAGATCGAGTCCTACATCAGGCTCCCTGCATGGAGAGCCTCTACCTGTGTCTACCTGTGTCTCTGCCTCTCTCTCTCTATGTCTCTCATGAATAAATAAATAAAATCTTTAAAAATGAAATAAAATGTCTCAGTTTAAATTTTTACTGTGGTAAGTACTGATGCACGTAACTCACATAAAAAAATGCTTTTTGGGGTCCTCAATAGATTTGAAGACTATAAAGTAGCTTGAAACCGAAGTGTCTGAGAACTGCTTTAAGAAACCATTTCCATCTGATTTGAGATCTTATATCTACTTTTTATTAAATCAACATTTTTATTCTGAAATTGTGACAGAATTTTACTAATTTTCTTGTTTTTAGGTAAATTAGGAAAGGAAAAGGAATAGTAGACTGTTCATACTTAAACAGAATCTTCCCTATTATTTAGTTCAGAGATTTTTACAACTGAGAGTGTTCATGGGTTCACATGTTTTATTTAAATATTTCTATTTTTAAAATTTTTTTTAAAGATTTTATTTATTTATTCATGAGAGACACAGAGAAAGAGAGAGGCAGAGACACAGGTAGAGGGAGAAGCAGGCTCCATGCAGGGAGCCTGAAGTGGAACTCGATTCTGGACCTCCAGGATCACGCCCTGGGCCAAAGGCAGATGCTAAACCACTGAGCCACCCAGGGATCCCATATTTCTATTTTTTTAAATGGAATTTTATCTTTTAAAGAATTATAATTAAAAATATAGTGCCCACTTGCTTTGCACATTAGAAAAATCAATTAGAGCTTCCTTTTTTTTTTTACTTCTAAAGGTTTTATTTCTTAGAGAGCATGAGCAGAGAGGGGGTGGGGGGTGCAAAGAGAGAAGGAGAAGCAGACTCCTAGCTGAGCGGGGAGCCTGATATGGGGCTCCATTCCAGGATCCCGAGATCATGACCTGAACTGAAAGCAGATGGTTAACCAATTGAGTTACCTAGGTGCCCCTCAATTAGAGCTTTTAATTGTATTTTTAGGTTACCTAATCTTTTTGCAGTCTTGCCTTTCCCTGCATGTATTTTATTTTAATTAATTAATTAAAATAATAAATTTATTTTTTATTGATGTTCAATTTGCCAACATACAGAATAACACCCAGTGCTCATCCCGTCAAGTGCCCCCCTCAGTGCTCGCCACCCAGTCACCCCCACCCCCCGCCCTCCTCCCCTTCTACCACCCCTAGTTCGTTTCCCAGAGTTAGGAGTCCTCCATGTTCTGTCTCCCTTCCTGATATTTCCTACCCATTTCTTCTCCCTTCCCCTCTATTCCCTTTCACTATTATTTATATACCCCAAATGAATGAGACCATATAATGTTTGTCCTTCTCCGATTGACTTATTTCACTCAGCATAATACCCTCCAGTTCCATCCACGTTGAAGCAAATGGTGGGTATTTGTCATTTCTAATGGCTGAGGAATATTCCATTGTATACATAGACCACAGCTTCTTTATCCATTCATCTTTCGTTGGACACCGAGGCTCCTTCCACAGTTTGGCTATTGTGGACATTGCTGCTAGAAACATCGGGGTCCCCGTATGTATTTATTTCATCTTGTAAAAACGTCAGAGATTAGCAAGGTGACTCTTTTGCCTGGTCTTATTTATTTATTTATTTTTTTTAGTTATTGGAAAATACACATTCACAGAAGTATAGAGAATGCTAAAAGGAGTCCCCATATATTTATTTCTGAGCCTTACCAGTTATCTACACAAGGCTAGCCTTATTTCCTACACTTGACATTTCTAGTACCTGCCCCTGAACCAGTCTACTCACCCTTCCATTCCTTAACAAGACCTAGAGACGGTTTCCTTTGTATTCTACCAGATGATCCAAATCTTTAAGTGGATCATAGCCATGTTCCCTTAAACTGTGTAGTGCCCAGATAAACTGGTTTAGTGGAGGAAATTTTCCCCTAGGAATCCATTTCCAACTTTCACTTTTAAGACTGTAGATAATTTGGTTCTAAGTCATGAGTCACATCCACCTCTCCTTTCATTGATATAGTGACATACTGTTAATTTCTCTTTCCCAATGAAAGAATTCACAGCTAAAGCAAAGAGAACAATTTTTAGGTGAAGAGCTGCTTCTTTTCCAGGTTTCCCTTTGAGCTCATTCTTCCCAGCTTGCACTAAACTCCAAATGACTCCCTGGAGGTTGGAAGCTGCTGGCTCCAAGCAGCCCTTTCCCTTTCCCCAAGGACTCAAGATGAATGCCTACAGCTAGTCATCAGTTCTTCTACCCTGACATAGCCATTTGCCCCTGCTGCTACATGCTGCCAATTACAGTGAGGCAGAGAAGTTTATACCCTTGCATGGAGAACAGGCATTGAACAGACAAGCCACAAATGAATTTGCAGTTTTAAATTGTATTGTAATGGGATGAATACTGGCTCAGTTGGTCACACCAGGAGGAGGACACCTCTTTAATTGTAACAGGAGAGTAGAAGGATAGAGTGGGCAAGGAACGTAACTAAGTTTGTAGTTGGGGGCAGCCCCGGTGGCGCAGCAGTTTAGGGCCGCCTGCAGCCCAGAGTGTGATCCTGGAGACCTGGGATCCAGTCCCATGTCAGGCTCCCTGCAGGGAGCCTGCTTCTCCCTCTGCCTGTGTCTATGCATCTCTCTCTCTCTGTGTCTCTAATGAATTAAAAAAAAAAAAAAGTTTGTAGTTGGTAGTAGCAGAAGTCTTCAAAAGCTACTGTTTATTTTTATTTTTGATTGTTTTAGGTTTTAAGACCTAATTGTTTGGGCATAAAAATGACTTCGTTTTCATTTGTATGCTTTCTTAACACATTTAGAGTAGTACATATCTAATTTAACCATAAAGTAGATCATTAACTAATTATATTTATATGTAATTTCCTTATGTTCCGAAATCAGTGTTTGCAGGTAGTGACTGGAATGTGTAAAATTATTTTGTAAATATCTGGTGTTAACTCAGTAATTCTATTACATTTAATAACATTTTAAGTCTGTCAGGAGAACTGATTTATAGGTGCTTCCTTTATATAAAACTTTGATCCTTTTAGTATCTCGAGTGTGTGATAATCACATTATTTCTAATGCATTTTTTGCCTTCTGAGAGGGCAGTCAATCCAGGGACTTCCTGCTTAAGAATAGTGAGTTACCAATTGGGTATTCACATGTGCATTGGATCTAGGAAGATTCACAGGGAAGGCAGATATTTTATGGAACCAATATAAAAGTGGTATTATAATATAGTCAGTCACTTATAAGTTCAGCTTTTAGAGTAATTGTTTAAGGTAATTATATGAGTTATTTAGCCACATACACAAAATAATTTCTACTTTGTCCTACTTCATTAAGTGGATTTCTTAACATACCCTTTTGCATTTTTTCATTTTGGTAATTTTAGATTTGTGTGGTCTTCTGTTAGTGGTAGCTAAAACATCTCAAAAGGTTTCCTCAGAATTGTTTATTGAAAAAGCTGAATTATTTTTGAAGTTTGATAGATAAATTGGGATGAAGCTGGCAATTAGATTAAATTAAAATATTTTTCTTTATTTCAAAAGAAACTACTTTTTTGTTGTTTTTAGAAACAGTAGTCCTAATAAGTCAAATAATAGAGGATATACTATTCAGTCCTACTTTTTAGAAGTAAAAACAGCTGGTGAGCTGTACTTCCAATGCCTATAATATAGGTGGTAGGGTTAGAGAAAAGAAATAGAGGTTAATTTGACCATAAGTAGCTTTTCTCCAGTTAAACTTTTTCTTTTCTTTCTTTCTTTTTTTTTTTTTTAAACCAGGTTTCTGCTTTGGGTTTAGATCCCTCAGGTGCCCGTTTGGTGACTGGAGGGTATGACTATGATGTTAAATTTTGGGATTTTGCTGGAATGGATGCTTCTTTTAAGGCATTTCGATCTCTTCAGCCCTGTGAATGGTATGTGTTGCACAACTTAATACTTTCATATTTGAAGATGGAGTACTGTTATCGTTTGAATTTCATTTGTGATGCTTTGTACCAAAAATACACTGTTTATATGACCATGTGTTACCTTCATTATTTGGATAAAAGAAAAATGTACCTTAAATTTCTTTCCTTCAGTTTTATTAACCTAAATTTTAAAGATGTTTTCAATCTTTTGTTTTGTAAAAAATATTTGTATTTAGAGATTATTACCTTGCCTAGTTTAATACTACAGTAAATACCATGTAATGTTATGTATGTGTGTATGATGTATGTTAAGCCAATAACCAGGTGTTAGTCAATGCTGCACTGTGCAGGTATGGTCAGCTAGCATGTATGGTCAGCTAGCATGGTATCGGAAAGGGCTTTACATGTTGCTACCACAAGCCACCCTCTTCTGTTTTTGACTATATCTGGTCTTTTAGTATATTGGATATCAAAAATAGATTTTTACAGGTGAAACTGATACCTTGTTAACTTTGTATAATGTATATTGTAAATGAGTTCTTATTGACTAACTGTACATATTCACCATATGTGAATTAGCTGAAATTACTTAGACCCCGTTTTCTAAATTTTTTAAATTTTATTTATTTATTTATTCATTCATTCATTCATTCATTCATTCATTCATTCATTCATTCATTTATTTATTTATGATAGTCACACAGAGAGAGAGAGAGAGGCAGAGACACAGGCAGAGGGAGAAGCAGGCTCCATGCACCGGGAGCCCGACGTGGGACTCGATCCGGGGTCTCCAGGATCGCGCCCCGGGCCAAAGGCAGGCGCCAAACCGCTGTGCCATCCAGGAATCCCCGGTTTTCTACTTTTATATGAGTGGGGCTTAAGAATCTAGTTTACCGGGCAGCCCCAGTGGCCCAGCATTCTGGTGCCGCCTTCAGCCTGGGGTGTGATTCTGGAGACCCGGATCGAGTCCCACGTCAGGCTCTCTGCATAGAGCCTGCTTCTCTCCCTGTGACTCTGCCTCTCTCTCTCTCTCTCTCTCTCTCTCTCTCTCTCTCTCTCATGAATAAATAAATAAAATCTTAAAAAAAAAAAAGAATCTAGTTTACCTTTAACTTGAACTCTTAAGGATGATGGTTTTTGCTAAACCTTGTGTCTACCTGGAAACTCTGGATTCTGTCTTTATCCATTCTGTATGGATAAAGTTCCTGTTTCTGGGCTATTGGGTGTTTGCTTTTAGTGAACCTTTCATGAAAGTGGTGGTTGGAGTGTCTGAAAGGCTAGAGAGCTGAGATTTTTCTTAATCCTGTGGAATATATGTGAATTGTTTTTGCTTACTTGCTCATAACTGCATAGATAACCAATGTCTGTATGTAACTCAGAATTGGTTCTAAGACCTCAGTTTCTCTGGGAGCTGCAGTTATCTAGCAAAATAACCTAAAAGTTATACTAAACATGGCCCTGATCAATTTTGTACAAATCATAATTATTTGTAAATTTTGAAGTCCTAATTCTTAAGCTATCTTTAGTAAAGATTTGAGAATTCCCTAGGTGAGCAAAGCAGATTTCTGATCAGTTGGAAAGGAAAAAAAACCTTAAAAACGGAGTGTCTCCAATGATGACTATATTTAATTAAAACTCTTATTGTCTAAAATTGTAACTTGATGTCTTGAGTTAGTATGATGACTTTTAAAAAATACACTTAAAGTACAATATTATATATTTTATTCCCATGCGATACTCTCTCGATTCATATAAGGATTGTATTCCCCTTCTACTTTTACGACCACAAACTACTTTTACGACTACAAACTCACTTGTTCAGGATTATTCAGTAGTCTATTAATGATTAGCTCTGAATAGAATCATGTCCCATGAGTCTCAAGGCAGTGCTCTATTACTAAACTTGTCATTTGCTACACTGAGGTAGTTGAAAATGCAGAAAAACCCAAGAATAAGCTTATTTTCTCTTCTATAATTAAATTGTATTCTTTATCTAATAGTGAGCTATCAAAGGGTAGATGGGAATAAACAGAATTCTTGACAGTCTGTACAAGATTAATATAAACTCTAGTACAATAAACATTATAGTATAGTGAATGTTACTATTTTAAATCATGAGAACTGTTTAACTTTGCTGTCATTTGCCCCTAACTTCCAAGTAATGTGACTCTTTTTATGACAATAGGTATTTTTTTTACTTAATGTGTATTTTATATTTATATATACATCCATCTGTAATTCACTTTTGCCTGTGAAAAATTTCAAGCGTAGAGAAAAATGGATTACTGTAATAGCCCTCTACCCTTTTACCTAGATTTAATAGTTACATTTTTCTGTATTTGCTTCATCTCATTTTTGTTATTTTTGAAGTATTTAAAAGTAAAGAAATGCATAACTTTCACTTTGAAATAAATATAGACATTTTCCTATATAAATAGAGCTCCAATTATTCTAACAGATTTATTTAGAACTTCTTAATATTTCTAATGATCATTTTACATTTAAATTTCCCCAATTGGAAACGAACTAGGGGTGGTGGAAGGGGAGGAGGATGGGGGGTGGGGGTGAATGGGTGACGGGCACTGAAGGGGACACTTGACGGGATGAGCACTGGGTGTTATTCTGAATGTTGGTAAATTGAACACCAATAAAAATTAATTTATTAAAAAAAAAACCCAAAAAATTTCCCCAATTGGCTCTCAAAATGTGTTTTAATGCTGGTTTGTCAAACATAGATCTAATAAAGTAATGTCACATTTATTGTGTATCTTTTACATATCTTTTAATCTAGAACAAGGTTTCCTTTCAAACCATTGTCTTTCTCATAATACTTTATTAAATGGGTCTGTTGTACTTCATAAGATTCTTCCTCCCTGAATTTTGTAATTGCTTCTTTATTGTATCATTTAACTTATTTCTTTGTCTCAAGTATTTCCTGTAGAAGATCCAAAGGCTTGATCATAATCTCTACTGTATAACATCAAGTGCATGTATTGTCTACTTGTTGCTATTTGTGACTAGCAATTAAGATTGATCCCTGGATTAAGTTGGTGACATCTGATTCCTCCATTGTAAAGTTAATATTATGTTATATACTTGAGATAAGTAAGAGCTTTGTGGGGAGATAGTTGACAGCATGGAAATATCTAGATTCTTATCATTGCTTCACTTAATATTTTGCACCCATTGATTATTCATACCTGACTCAGTTCTCTCATTGAGGGTTGTGAGTTGGTGATTATCTGAATTCCATTATTTCATCTACATTTATTTGTTGTTGTTCTTCTAAGAGAACTTTTCCATATTAACTTGTGTTATTTGGTTACACTAAAATACAGTTCTGCTGTTAGAAGGCAGTATAAATACTTGGTTATTTAACTACCCATTTTTAGTTCAGGGGTTGGTAGTGATAAATGAGTTGTTGCTGTTATTGGTGGTGATGTTTTTCTCTTTTTCCTTTTTGAGTGGCAGGATTTATGACTTTAAAATTTTCATGTGTTCCAGTCAGTTGTAGTCATTATTCTTTTTGATGTTTAAATTGTCCCACATTTGGCCAGGGGAGTCCTTGATTGCTATGTAGTTTTGGCATGAACTCATTAGACTTTAAAAGCTTACTTATTTTCCTGGCATAACATGATGTAAGCTTCCTGGTACATTCTTTTCCAGATCCTAGAATCAGCATTTCCCTATGGAGATCTTTTTTTTTTTTTTAAGTGAGAGTGGTGCTTAGAGGCCAAATTTGAATATTATACCTGCTCATTAATAGTGGGCTTCTTGACCTTTTCAGTGAAAAGAGGTAGAAAATACAGATGTGTGTGTGTATAAGTGACAAGGTCATTTGATATTTCCATTTAAAAATTTTAGTGAACTTTAACTTTAGAATATTTTATAATTTACAGAAAAGCTGCAATGATCATCCAGAGTTCAGGTATACCCCTCACTCAGTTTCCTCTATTATTAGCATTTTATATTATTATGGTACATTTATGACAAGTAAACCAACATTGGTACATTACTATGAACCAAACCCCAAACTGTATTTGCATTTGACTGTTCCTTCCACTAATATGCCTTCCAAGACACCATACATTTAGTCTTCATGTCTGTTTAGTCTTCTCTGGTTTATGATGGCTTCTCAGTCTTTCTTGTTTTTCCTGATTTTGACAGTTTTGAGGGGGTACAGTTAGGTATTTTCTAGAATGTTTCTTGATTTTTTTTTTTATGATGCTTTTCTTATGGTTAGATTGGGACTCTGGATCTTGGGGATGAATATCACAGAGGTGAATTTCCATTTGCTGTTCTTTAGAAGTAAGTCAGTAAGTGCTGCTCACATTTGGGAAAGTAGAAAATCTAAGCTCCACCTCCTGGAGGGGGTAGTATTTACATAAACTACTTGGAATTCTTTGAGGAAGAATTGTCTCTTCTTACCCATTTACTTACTTGCTTACTTACTTATTTATTTATTTTATTTTATTTATTTTAAAATATTTATTTATTCATGAGAGACACAGACTGAGAGAGAGGCAGAGACACAGGCAGAGGGAGAAGCAGGCTCCACACAGGGAGCCCGATGTGGTACTTGATCCCGGGACTACAGGATCACACCCTGGACCAAAGGCAGGCGCTAAACCGCTGAGCCACCCAGGGATCCCCTTTCCCCATTTATTTATATATTTAACCAGTTATTTCTACCAGTCTTTACTCCTTGATATTTATTTTATATCTTGGGTTATAAGCCAATATAATGTTATTTATTTTGTAGCCATTGATAGCTCTTGCAGTTTGGCCCATGCAATCCTTTCTTTGATAGGATTCTTTTTTTTTTTTTTTTTTGAGTACTTTTTACATTTTGGTACTCTTAAATGCTCCAGACTCATCTTGTATTGTCCCTGCCCCAGTCCCAGAATCAGTCATATTTGCTAGGAGAATGGTATCTGAGAACAGGATGTTGGTTCTTGGAGTGCTTGTTGCTCCTAGGGGTCAGGAGTTCATATCCATGTCTCTGA